GTGCTACCATCAAAGGAACGATCCCTCAATTTCCACTAAGTCACTGGTCTTTCGACAGCGTGCATCGTGGGAAGATGTTAAAAATACCAGTGGTTCTGGTTAAAAAGAAATCACGTATGCACAGTGAATTAATCAAAATCTACAAAGTCCCTAATTTCCCTCCTGGGGCTCATCTTGCAGTACAGTCACACAGTTTCAGGAGTTGGAGAATAGTACTACGTTTGATCAAACGGACTAAACATATTAATACTCATGCTAAGATATTTCCATTTCTTTCTTTGGACTTTTTGACAACTGATGCAGTTACTAATACTATTAGGTATTTAAGTTTGGAAATCAGGTACGAAATTATTTTGGAACTTAGTTTTCAGGTAAGATGTCAAAAATAACGAAAATCATAATTAATTGTAAACATGTTATTGAATATTGATAATAATCTCATAATCACTTTTTGTTTTCAAATATTATACTGTTAATCAGCAGCTCACCAATCATGATATTATAATTGTTACATATCAATCTATTGAACTAAATTAGATTAACGAAATCGAATTAAATCTCCAGGGGAACTTTCTAGATTTAACACCAAAAATTATTATCGCAAAAGAAAAGGAGATCGGCCCCTCGATCCTAGCTTGCTAGGTTCGCCATTGAATGTTGTGTTGTTTTTTTTTAAAACAAAAGTTTTTTTAAAACAAAAGTTAAATTTATTACCAATTATTCAATCAATACATATCATAAATTCTAATATTGGAAACACAATGCAAAATGGATGTCTTAAACTATAATTTTGTTGTGACTAATAATCTATTGACTTTCAAAGTTGAATTTTAGTTAAGTATGAAATGCCACCACATCATAGTTAGGGTAAAATGTTATTTTTAAATTTTAAAATTGAGAAGATTGCTCTATGGCTTACAATTTAAAATTCTAGCAAAAGATATCTTATTTTTAAATAGTTGGTTACAGTTTATGACAGTACTGGCATGACTAGTTTAATTGTGGCTGGTAAAAGGACCCAGTTGCCTGTAAGGGCTTTACCGAACCCCTGGGGACCACAATGTGATAAGATCAGGCCAGATGTTTCTATGTAGAGCAATTTATTTATTTCGGAGCTATGGTTATATGATATTGCTGGTGGTCATGTTTAAAGGTCAATTTATCCTTGTGTGTTAATTATCCATCCAGATGCTTGGTGATGTGCGTAAATCATGCCCTTCTACGATATATAATGTTTAACCATAAATTTGTTTTTACCACAGAAACTGTGGCACTAATGTCAATTAACAATATTTACATTCATTGATATTTAAAGCGTGTTTTTCCCCAGCACTACTACACAACAAAAACCTGTCGGCCCACCGAGGAAACACGGTCGCAGAACAAAGAGCCCAATTGTGCTCTTCTATTCTGTGATCGTGTGTATCTACTATAAACTAGCTAAATGTACTAAGAAAATTTAATGGAATCATTACAGTCGTTTGATAAGTTCACGTGTCAAAGTAATGTTCATGGTGATCAAATTTTTGGATCCCCGGTGGGCAAACACTCGTCCCAAAGGTTAAGGCATACCTGTCGATGTTTCACCATACGAAGTAAGGCGATTTGAACATATACTCAGCTTACAACTCAACCCATGGGACGAGACGTCGTGAGCCTCAAAATTCTCCAAAATATATAGCACATACCTAGTTAGCAAACACTAAACACAACATACATAGGATACCAAATAATGTATAATGCCATTACTACATTCGCGTTCGAAAGAAAATATATCTGCTATCTAATTTAAAAAATTGAAGAATAAACCTGAAGAAAGGAGAAGGAGAGAGGGGTTTGGGAGAGGCAGAGTAGGAAAACAACAGGATCCTGTGCCGCAGGATTTTAAAATTTGTTGTATGATGATTCGTTTTGTTTCGTCTCTTAGATTAATATAGGTCTGATACCCTTGTCGTGGTTCTTTGCAATAACACCGTGGTTTACTCATATGATTAAGTTTACTTAATTAACCTATTTCAATGATAATTCATTTGCATCAAAGTTGTAACTGCACCATAGTTGTCTGTCATATTTAGATTGTAGTTCTAACAAAGCTTTCTTAATATTATTCTTGAATATACTGATAGGAGTGGAGAAGTCTATTTCACTCGTTGACTTACGGCAGTGATTCCAAATACTGGTTGATTGGTAGATGAATAGTGAGGATGGAGTGGGTGGGATGAAGTAGTTGTCTCGTCTTGGTGACCTGTTGAATAAAGAGAACATTGAGACTGGTGATTGGAACTTATTAATTTTAAACATTTCCAGTAAACAGTGCAACTTATGAAGATTGTGGACAGTCAGGAAATTATACTCGTTACAGATTGGTTTACTGTGTTCTAGTTCAAAGAAATCTTTGCCTAACATCTGCTTGATAACTTTACCGGTCTTATCCCTAGTGATAGGCCTTACTCTGGCACATGTTTTGAACTTATTGAAGTACGCATCATTATCACCAAAGAGAATTCTTATGCATTTCTTTTGTGTTTTAAATATGGCTTCTAGTTTATTATTTGATACACCTCCCCAAACAGATATTCCATAACATAGGTGTGATTCAAAAAGGGTGTGGTACAGGTCCTTATATAGTTTTTTAGGTACACAGCGTCTAATTCCACATAGTCTACCAATCTCACATTTCAATTTACGATTTAACGCTCTTAAGTGAGCATCCCAGTTCAGTTTTTGGTCAATAATGACTCCAAGAAACTTAGTTTCCTCTACCTTTTTAATTATTATATTATTCAGTGTCAGTTCTAATTCATTGGTGTTGGAATCTGGTTCATTTCTACAGTTCGGTTTAAAGTGGATATAACAACATTTCTTTGTGTTGATATGCAGCAAGTTACTCTTCATATACTGATGAACAAGTTTAAGAATTTTGTTAGCCTTGCAGTAAAGTGTTTTTATACATTTATCTACAACAAATATGTTGGTGTCATCGGCAAAAAGTATAAACTTGCCTAGGTCTGATACTCTATATATTTCATTGATGTAGATAATGAAAAGCAAGGGACCTAATACTGACCCCTGAGGCACACCAAATATAACAGACAGTTTTTCGGATTCTTCTCCAAGTACTGAAACATATTGCTGTCTATTAGAGAGATAACTGGCTATTAATTTATTTGCAGTCCCTCGAATTCCATAATCATTCAGTTTTTTAAGCAGTTTATCATGACAGATTGTATCAAAAGCTTTACTTAAATCAATGAAGATGCCTAGTACATGATTTTTATCTCTTAGTGATTTTTCAATGTAGTCGACAGAGAAGTTAAGTGCATGGCTTGTCGAATGATTTTTTCTGAAGCCATATTGATTTTCATATAATAATCCTTGTGACTGAAAGAAACTGTAAAGCCTGGAGAATATGATTTTCTCAAGTATTTTACCAAATATCGCTAAGGTTGAGATAGGCCTGTAATTTTCAAGAAGCTCAGCATTTTCTTTCTTATATATTGGACTTATTTTACCTACTTTTAGGTCGTCTGGAAAAACTCCCTGTTGCATACATTCGTTATACAAAACCGATAGTAGTGGGCTAATTATGCCTGATACTGCCTTTACTATATGTACTGGTATATCACTAGCCTTGCCATTCTGAAGTTCCGATATGATCTTAGCCACCTCTTCAGGTGAGCAGTCATGTAGATATATATTAGCTGTATTCGATTTAGGTAAGAGGTCACAGAAACTTGGAAGCTGATTTATTTGTATCTCTCCTAGTTCTGTGTAGGCTGCATTAAGGTTAGATGCTAGGGATACAAAATACTTATTGAATTCATTCGCTATAACTCTGCGATTAGTTATCTTTTCATTGTCTATGGTAAATATAGGTCTGATATCACGTTTCTGTTTGCCACGAATTTTATTTATAAGTTCCCAGGTTTTCTTGGAGTTTCCCTGAGTTTCAAGAAACTTGTCAGAATAATATTCAGATACAGCCTTTTTACGAACCTTTTTTAGAGCCTTTCTATATTCTTTGTAGTCATCATAACGGTTTCTTTTATTACAGCAGATAGAACACAGGCATGTGCCCCCTTTTGTGTCAGTTTCGCCTTGTTTACACTTAACTTTCCTGACTTTCGCCCAGGCATCATACAGTCCATGGCAGTGGTTTACTGAGGCTATAATCCCGCCAGTAATCCAGGGGTTGTTCTGGATAGTGCGTTTAGTGGTTTTGGGTACAGCTAGTTTGCAGGTTTCGTCAATGCTGTTTTTAAAGATATCATGAAAGTTGGTAAAATCTATAATTGGTTCATTATCTAGTTTATTACCCAAGACTTCAGCAAATTTATCAGTGTTGTTGTCATAATCACTTTTTGTTTTCAAATATTATACTGCTAATCAGCAGCTCACCAATCATGATATTATAATTGTTACATTTCAATCTATTGAACTAAATTAGATTAACGAAATCGAATTAAATCTCCAGGGGAACTTTCTAGATTTAACACTGTTATGAATCGTTGTGACAAGGTAAACGCAAGACTAAAAGCTAAAAGCTAAACCAAAACCAAAACCAAAACCCAGGTAGTCATCCTGAATAGTATATCGGTTAATCATACAATAAATTACTAGAATATATAACATCCCGTTCAACTAAAAAGTGTTAAAAACAATATAGGTTTAATAATTTAACTGAATTCGTAAAAAAATGTGATATAAATCAATCGTACAAAATTTAAAATGTTTGAAAACGTGGTCAAAATGAAATCTACAAAAGTGTGAAGTGAACTCACGTGAAAATGTTGAAACGTGTTGCGCTCGCTACACGATTTAAAACTTAGCGCATTCCGTTTAAAACAAAAAATAACGTGTTATTCTTCAAAACTTAAACGTGACAGGGAATCTTTAATGATTTTACGTTTGATCTGGATAATTTAACTGGATTAATGTGTGGTTAGATTTACACATTCAAAATAAAACAACTGTCATAAAATGTGATAATGAAACGTGTTTTATGTTCCTCCCAGTTTGCGGTAACTTAGCCTGTCTGGTGGTTTACTATCACGTGCAAAGTTTGCTGGCAGAAGCAAATTAGGTTGTTGCAATTCATGCTCTCTAACAATATTAGGTTTCATAGTGCTACGGTTAATTTCTATGGCAAGCTCACGTGGTTTAAGTACAGGTTGTGCAGTGATTATAGGTTCAACGGCTGCCTTATGGTCAGGCTCAGCGGGTAGATTTGGATTATTACCAACTATAATCGAAGTTTCCGGCTCTGTACTCTCAGGTAAGCTAGCTGTCTTCTTGAAATCACCCTCAATAGCTGTAGAGCTCTGCTCATCTCTTATCTCCAGCTCAACTCGTGGTGTATCCGGATCTGTTTGTTGCAACGGTTCTGACACAACAGATCTCTTGATTACCTGGTCCAAATGCTTGCGGTAGACTCCATCAGGTGTCTTGATCAGTAGCACTTTGGTACCTTCCTTACCCTCGATAACACCGTTTCTCCAGCACTTCTTGTTCTCATCATAGAACGATATAGTGTCATCAATCTTCATATCACGAAGTCTCGATTCAGCAATCGTGTTCTGATCGTTTAAAGCAACTTTGGCAAACTTACTACTCGAACTCGGGTGTAGAAAACTCAAGGCGTTTCTCGTCCGTCGTTTCATCATCGCAACTGCAGGCTCTACTCCGGTAGTGGTGTGTGGTGTGTTGCGGTAGTTAAGCAGCCAATCAGCCAGGTTACACATAACGTCAGGGTTTTTCAAGATCATCCGTTTCATAGCTCTTTTAAACAGTCCGACTGCAACTTCTGCTTGTCCATTACTTGCAGGTGAGTAAGCAGGAATAAGCATGTGTCGAATCTGGTTATTGTTCGTGAATACTTTAAACTCTTCTGAAGTTAAACTCGATCCATTGTCTGATACTAGTATCTTGGGTAGTCCCCAACGGCTAAAGATGTCTCGTAACTCTTGAATCACTCTCTTACTTGTAATGTTCGTCATTCTAACAACTTCTAACCATTTTGAATACGAACAGATAACTATCAGCCACATAGATCCAAGAAAGGGTCCACAGAAATCTAGATGAATCCGCTCCCAAGCCTCCATAGTTTTAGCCCATGGGTGTGGTGTAGATCTAGCGGGTTTCTTCTGGTTTAGTTGACATGGTTCACATATTTTAACCATTTTCTCGATCTCAGCATCCATGTTTGGCCAATAAACATAGCCTCTCGCTAGTGCTTTGGTTTGTGAAATGCCCATGTGTGTTGCATGAAGCATTGAAAGCACGCTCTTTCTCATACTCTCTGGAATAACAACTCGAGATCCCCAGACAATACAGTTCTGGTCTACTGACAACTCGTTTCGACGTGTGTAAAACGGTTTCAGCTCGACATCAACAGAGGGTTTCTCGTTCCAGCCGTCTTTAACAAACTGTAACACTCGACTAAGTGTCTTGTCTCTTCTCGTGTGACTAGCTATTAACTCAGCGTCAATCAAAGGTTTGTCATCACCGAAGTAGTGCACGCTGAAAACAGTATCTAGAGGTTTCATTTCAAACTCCTCTGTTAACTCGTCATCAAACTCTCTCGTCTCTGCCGATGTGTCTAAAGGCAGTGGAAAACGGGAACATAGATCAGCATTACAATGTTTACCAGTGGGTCGAAACTGGATCTTGTAAGTGTAACCGCTAAGGAACAATGACCATCGTTGTAAACGACCTGCCACCATGCTAGGAATCCCACGACTAGGGTGAAAGATAGATTCCAGCGGCTTGTGGTCTGTAACTAGGGTAAACGGTCGTCCAAAAAGATAACGGTGCAGTCTCTTAGTCGCCCAAACTATTGCCAATGCTTCTTTTTCTATCATGGAATAGTTTCTCTCAGATTTCGTCAGAGTTCGAGATATATACTCGATCGGTCGCTCTGTCCCATTTTCATCAATATGTGACATAACAGCTCCTAAACCAACGGATGAAGCGTCCGTGTCAAGCTTTAACTCCAGCTCAGGGTTGTAGACTGTTAGAACCAAGTCAGACGATAACAGCGCTTTTAACTCATCAAAAGCTCTCTTTTCTCTATCTCCAAAGTGGAAAATACTGTCAGCGGGTCTTAAACGGTTAAGTGGTTCAACAACTGTTGACATGTTGGGAATAAAACGTGAATAGTACTGTGCACCACCAAGAAATGATATCATCTCCGCTCTAGTAGTAGGATACGGTGCTCTCACTATGGTTTCAACTTTCGAACTCAGCGGTCTTATCCCGTCAGCAGATACTTCATGGCCAAGAAATGTCACCTTAGGCTCCATGAAAACACATTTGTCTAGCCGGCATTTGTAGCCTTCATTCTCTAGTGCTGTAATCACCGTTCTCACGTTCTTCATGTGACTCTCATCATCAGGTCCAGTTATTAGAATGTCGTCAACACGCCATGCTGTGTTCTCTGTCTTTCTCAAGGTATCATCAATCTTGCGTTCAAATATCGGTCCGGCAGATGAAATACCGAATGGTAGAGAAGTAGGACTGAACAATCCTTTGTGTGTGTTCAAAGTCACAATCTTTTGGTCACATTCTCTCAACTTCAAACTATTATAAGCGGCTCTGATATCCAGCTTAGTAAACAGTTTACCTCCGACAATCTTACTCAAGCAATCTTCTATCGTAGGAAGTGGGTAAATAGCTGTGTCAAGATTAGGATTTACGGTAGTCTTGTAGTCACCACATATGCGAATCGTACCATCCGCTTTCATGACAGGAACTATGGGTGAAGCCCAGTCTGAGTGCTCTGTTGGAATCAGCTGTCCATTCTTCACTAACTCGTCTATGGCTTTCCCAACCTTGTCTACGATGGCAAATGGGACCTGCCTTGCCTTGCAAAACTTTGCTCTCGCATCAGGCTTAAATTGTAGACAAGCTTCGAATCCTTTAACAGTTCCAACACCAGGATCGAACACAGGACTGCGGAGTATCTCACTAACAAATTCATCTCTCTGAAGCTTGGAGACAGCGTAAGATTGCTCAACATCAACAAGTCCTATCATATGATCCAACCAGTCTTTACCAAACATCTGGATGATCCACTCTCGACCTAGGAGTGTGGGAAACCGACAATCGACAACATATAGTGGTAAAATCCATTTCTTGCCTCTAAATTCAACGTTTACAAGGGCCTTGCAGTCAATGCTTTCACAATTAAAATTAGCTACTCGCAATTTCTGGGAACATGGAACAATCTGGCAATCAGTTAGTCCTAGTCTAGCAAAATCAGACTTACTTATACAGCTTAAAGATGAACCAGTATCTAACTCCATTTTCAAAATCTTATCATTAATCTTAACTTTAAGAAATGGTTTCTGATTACAATCAATACAACTGGATAAATTACTAACAACTGATGCAGGAAGAGTACCATCGGGAACAGGAGTCTGTACTGGAATCTGGACAGGATCAGCCGTCTCCACGCAGTACAACGTGTTCTCCAACTCTTGGTGTGTGTACCCATAATCAGCAGCGCAAGCGTTGCCATCATCATGATCACCAATCCCTTCAACACAATGGGATTGCTTCTTAGCTGAACGACAGTTCTTCGCGATATGTCCGGGTTTGCGACAGTTTCTGCAACGAACTTTGCAGTTTTTCGCAACGTGACCACGAACAGTACAACGTGAACAAACAATGCTAAGGTCGGCCTTCTGCTGGAACTTAGAGTTTTGAGGTTTTTGAAACTTCCCGGGTTTTTGAACATAGTGTGTTGTGACTGACATTGAACTTTGCAGAGCGTTCTCCTTCGTCTGAGCTTTATCGAACAGGCTGGCAGACGTGTCATTGGTAGCAGATTCTGATATGAGTTCAGCACGTATCCTATCAGAGGATAGTCCAGCCACAAAACGTGTACGCACCATTAAATCAAACAAATCACCGAACTGACAAACATTAGCAGCTTCCTTCAATCGTGACATAAAAGTACATAAGGATTCACCAGCAATCTGATTTAAAGTCATAAACTTCTGCTGTTGAGCTACAATGTTTGTTTTGGGTGATAACCGATCAACAAGAGTTTTTCTCAGGGTAGCGTAGTCAGTGTCTTTAATTTCAGCAGGAAATGTAAATGCACGCAACTTCTTCAACGCGTCAGGCCCCAGATTGACTGTTAACAGTGTTCTCATGAGTTCTGCTTTTTTAGCAGTTTTTTCGGTTGCGTCATCTGGTAACTTGTCTGCATGTGCGAAAATGAAGACAGAAGCAGCGTTTTCAAAGATTTCCAGCCACTCTCTGACACAATCAGTTTCCTTGGATAAGCGTAAGTTCGAAACCAGACTCGTCGCCATTGTTATGAATCGTTGTGACAAGGTAAACGCAAGACTAAAAGCTAAAAGCTAAACCAAAACCAAAACCAAAACCCAGGTAGTCATCCTGAATAGTATATCGGTTAATCATACAATAAATTACTAGAATATATAACAAACACCAAAAATTAAAAGGCGTGAATTACCTTGCTCTGCGCCAGGCCCAGAGCAAGGTGCTCTGCGCCAGGCCCAGAGCAAGGTGCTCTGGGCCTGGCGCAGAGCAAGGTGCTCTGGGCGACTGGGGCTGGCACGATTTAACGATATGGCGACTTAATGTGAAATTTTCATTACACCCATAAGTGCTACATTTTTCTATAGTCTAGTTTAAATTCCAAATAAACTTTTCTCAAACATTTCTCCTGGAATTTCCAGCAAATCGGGATCAACTGTATCGGATTGGGTAAAATTTAATCATTCGGCTGTAGAGTAAATGCTTCAATATTTTAACGAGTACAAAACTAGTAAATGTTATCATAATCAATCACACCTTAAACGGAAACAATATAAAAGGTAATATCAATTAAGATGATTGGACTGTTAAAAATCAAAACATCAATTTGACAGAACTTATTGTTGACAAAAGCTTGTTATTATTGTATAACAAGAAATGCGGCCGCTTTTTTTTGTGGATAGCCGCTCAATTTCCCGATCCGTGATGGCGTATTTTATCATATTCCATACAACCTGGGGACCCCAGTTTTTACTGTTTATAAGCATGCAGATATGGCGAAGTGACAAGCCGAGCGCCACCAAGTTAATATAATCCCATATTGAATTTGAAAATCGTGTATATTTCTATGTAAACATATACTTATTGTTTATGCAACCTGACACCCGACACGGATCTGTGCAAAATAGTTAGGTCCTGTCGTGATATCATGGATCGCTTAGGTTCCACCAAGATCTGGTAGTCCTCATAATTCTGCGGCCTCTATGTATCGTCATCTCGTACAACTCTTTAAGAATCTGAGGGATTTGGCATGTGAAAATTTGCAGCCTTCTGCAGACATTGATTGGGTTAACGAGGTGTCGTACGTCACCTCAAGATCGGGTGACAGGGGGCTGACCAGGCCAGAACCCAATTGATTGGGTCTGAGGTCACGTGATTATGAGCCTGAGGTCACGTGACTATGACGTCACCAGACCTTGTTCTCCATTTCCCGCTCATTGGACCAGGTGAGCTTGCATGCTTGTGAATGTGGGTGTAAGTACAGCTGTACTGTAGTTTATACCTAATTAACCCCTATAGAAACCGAAAATTTATTTTCTGGCAGAAAGCTAGAAATTTACCAAAATATCGACATTGTTATAAATTTATTTTGATGACCATTCCTGACCTAAAATTGCACGAGAAATTGATTAAACTTGGTTTCAGGACTCAACAATGCTTCTTTATGCCTTAAAATCCATGTTTTATCGATACAATCAACATTATGATCCCGTTGATTAATTAGTAACAGGTACCTAATAAATACGCAGAAACAACCATCACACCTACATTGCATTCCTAACGGGTCGATTTCGAGTGACCAATAATTGTCGTGATGATACGTCATGTGTTCCTGATCATCATCAGCAATCAAGAGACAGGAGCGGCGGTAGCTTTAAATCAATGGTTTACGTTATTTTTGTGACAAAATAGTATTAGTAACTCAAAATAATAATAGTATGCTATCAATTAGTGCCTAGTGGGATATGTACATGGTGAAATTAGTAATGTACTTGGTCCGTTCAGCGAGCCGCGCGCCAACAATTATTTAATTCAGATTATTGCGCAAAATAACTTTGCGCAGGTAGTCACGTGGGCGATAACAGTGCGCGAGCTGAGGGCACGTATGTACGCACGCACGCACGTTCCCACGGTCGCAAAGCTACCATATACAAAAAAACCTCGTTCGCTAACCCTTGTCCTTGACTCTTTTGTGCCTTCGGCACTTTGAGTCAAGGATCGGGAAAAAATCTCATTAGTTCCTTAGCTGTAGAAAACGTTAGCACCCCAGCGAACGCCGTGGGCTTCATGCGCCGCCAAAACGTTTAAATTTCATTTTTATTATTCCCCCAAGACTCCTGTAAAGACAAATTGCGAATGTTTAGCTTTAAAACTACTCTGTTCTTAAAATAATTGTCTTAATTATCGAATACTGAAGAGTTCAATTCAATCCAAGGTAAATTGTTCAAATTATGAGTGATCATGAATGAAAAATGGATAATTTACACGTAAAATTTGCCTCAAAATTTGTCTTGAAAAATGACCATAACTCTGGCTATGATGGTTAGATTTGGACGTAATGAAGGTTAACAGAAAGTCATGCTTAGCTTTTCAGATTCAAAGTCAAAACAATATAATTTGATCTCATTCCGTACACAACAACTTAAATTATTTCTGCGTCTGAAAAGTGTAAATACTATAAATGTCCAATAAAATAGTTTTTATAAAGAGTCAACATCACTCAAAACTAATCTAATTTTAATCTAAAATATAGAAACATTTAGCATCTTAATTAACATAAAGCGCAAACAAAACATTTAAAATATCGCATGTTTCATCAACTTTATTCAATTTTTAGGGAGTCTGATACGACCCAATTCATAAAACTAGTCCGCATTATGGGACATGAACGATAAGAAATACATTGAATCTGAACAAAACGGTCGAATATTATAACTGTTGAAGAAATGAGGGTATATTCCCATACCGGCCTCATACAAGAATTTATAACTATAATCTGAATAGTCACCAAAATACCAACTAATAAAGCAGCCTCTGATTAATACGATCAAACAATTGTTTTTAACATTTCCCGGAGGTTTTTTTGGAACTTTGCATATAAATTTAATTTAAAAACTTGTCTTTTGAGCTGTAATCATCCTTCACAATTAAAATGTCTCATTTGTCCCCCGGTACAAAATTATTTATTCAAAATCCACGTCGCTGTTCAATGTCCTTCTTTAAGAAAGATCCAACAAAAGTGAAAAGGTAAACTCGAGATTAGCCGCAGTAAAATAGAGACTTCAGGAGATCTTGCTTCTGAAAATATTTGTTATTTCAATTATCTTTCTTCGATCAATAGCAATTAGAACGAATATGAACATGAAACAAAATATATTTAGGAAGAACTCTCAGGGCAAAAACTTACAATCTTCTCAATCATAATCTCCTCAGACTCGTCCAGACGTTCTTGTTTAATCTCGCAGTCCAGCTCCTTCTTCACGTCCTCTCTCACAGATTGGTTCAGGTTTCCCACTACCAACCCCGCCACCTCCTCCTCCGCTGGCTTGCTGAGGACTGAGGTCTTGAAGAAGCTGTAGAGATCCTCCAGGGAGGGGACAGACTCGATACTGTTAGGAGGGGAGATGGTGTCGAAGTTTCCGTCAATCTGATACAAGTTCTCCTGTGGTTGCTCGAACCAGTGAGAGGTAGTTAAGTGGAGTGGTGAGGTTTTGTCAATCTTCGCGGTGATAGATGAAATGGGAAATAAATATTTTTTTGAGTTCAAAGCTAAAATGTAAAGGGTTAGTTCTACACCCGATACCCAGTTGTAAGGGCTGCCTTTTAAGAGCTTGGGTTATTTTTGACCAAGGTATTTAGTTTGCTTAAAAGCATTCTCTTAGAGCTGATTAGGCGTGGATATATAATAAAGAAAGGGTACATAACCTGATGTAGAGTTCAGTTGGTGAAGAGGAGGAGATCAGGATTGGATCATGATGAATAAGAGGATGACCGATACAAGGCATGAGCTTGTGGCGGATAGAATTTATATTATGGCTACTGGTGACTGGTCCTCATGCCAGGATGACAGCCAATAAACTAATAATTTGCCCGGTTAGCAATTATGATTTATGTGGCCTATCTTAAAGCTCGTGCAGCTAGCTGGGTCACGGGATGTCCCGCCAGGACTATAGACTTAATGCGTATATGGTAAGGCTTAGGAGGTGCTTAAGATTTGTTCGTTGCTTATTACTTTATTATGGATATAAAATGATCGTTAATTTAGGATTGACCTTTTTTACTAATAAAAGACTTGGATAAATGCAACGTAAAATAGCAGGAGTTAAATAAATAAACAAGCATCGTCAAACAAAATAAACAATAATGTGGATCACCCTATGAATGGAAAAGTGTTGGTGATGATGTGTTAAGTTTGACTTTGAGGTTTATTGCCAGCATTGGATAATCTGGGTCAATAAACCATAAAGTTGGTAAGGGGAGGATTTTCGAATTTTATAAGTTTTGGCTCCAGCCAGGGATACGGCTGGATAACCAAAACTGTAACAGGGCAATGTTACAGGGCTAAACAAGAATTGTCCAGAAGCAACTGAATCAATTAATTTTTACCCCGCGGAACCCGGGAATTCATGGATCCCAGACTTTCGAAGCCTTATAATATAATTGTGTTAAAAACTTTCAGTGGATTTGTGCTCGGAAGTGGCAACAGGGGCTGGCCCTGTTGCCCAGGAAATTTCTTTATAATATCTAAATTCTGTCAGCGTGTTTTGGAGCCAGTTAATTTTACGTTTCTAAAAGGACTGTTTCTGTGATCTAACTGGTTAGGAGAAAACTGTAAGTTTCATCTGGATTATTGTGGCTAATACTGGAAATTGAAAGTTCCGTGATTTAATATAGATTTTCACTTGGCATAGCCGGGCCTGGGATATTTACACCAGTGTCTTGACTTATGCCTGCTGAAATGAAGTTCACGGTTCTCTAAAATAGTAATTGTCTCTTCATAATCATATCTGTTCAATCCTTTAACAATCAAGTATATTCCACGCCAACAATACCATTCTTTTTCAGCTAAACAAAAATTTCAGTTAAACAAAAATCTAGCCTTTCCTTTTTCCTTTATCTTTTTCCAAGATATTTTTTGAATTAAAATCCTCGTTTTGAGATGTTTCGCATTCTTCAGGAATGGTTGTCAATATCGTTTGCGTAATACTGAATTTGCTCGCGAAAACTTTTCCTGTTAGGAAAATTTTAGAATATTCAGTTTCTGTTTTATTCAATGTGGCGGAATTCTTTTTTGTGATATCTGATTTTGAAGCAGAATCCAAGTCCATAGTATCATCATTTTTGTGCAAAAAAGTAGAATCTTCCTTGTTGACAGTTTTGTTATTATTACAAGTTCTGATTTCTTCATTTTGTCCTGACAGCTCATTTGCATTGAAAGCGGATTGCGGAGTCATGGCGACGTTTCTTTCCACATCTCTTTTCTTTCTTATAGTTCTAGCGAATTTGTTTATCGATAGTAAACATCGTCTTATATAAGACATGTAAAATAGAGATACCCAATATCTAATTTTCTTTACCATCAACTTGATTGTCACGATTATGTAATCATGATATAGAATGGGATTTATAACAGAATTTATTGGTAGAATCACGATCGAAGATATTGGATACAAGGCTGTAGCATCCATTAATTCAAAAGAATGCAACATACACACCGATATAAAAGGGACCCAACAAAAGAAATCTGTCGCAATTATGAGGGCTATTTGAAGATTGGATTCCTCTTTATCTCTTGAGCGTCTATTTTGGGCTTTGTGATTGCACATTCTAGCTCGTTGTTTTGAGCTCTTTGTAAAGAACAAAACCTTGCTGTAGCAGATAAATATGATGGTGAAACACACAAAATACAGGGTTAGATTTGACCATACATAAACTCTTTGTAGGTCTTCTCTTGATACAAAGTATTTGAACAGACAAACGCCATCATTGCCATAAAAGTGAACTTTGCGTCTCCCTATGCCTCCATATTGGTTTGAAAACATTGGGCTTATCAAACTATCGATTTTTGCCCAAGTGTACACTGCAGAGTCAACGAGTCTTCCATAATACTTGCTTATCTTGTTAATGTGCATGTCTTTGGTCACAAATGCTGGAAATATTGTAATGTTTGGATTATATGTCATGCCATTGACAAAGATATCCTCATATCGGACCATTAAGGGGATATAGGATAGACAAAATGATGCAATTGACATTATCGCGATGAAGATGAACATTTTTGCAGCTGCATTTTTGGATGTCAGTTTTTGGACTTTGATGATACCGATAGCCCTAAATATGCTAAGAACTGTCATTGAAAAGAGGGATATTTGACCACCGAATGAACTGAACACTCCCAAGAAAGCACACCCATCACTGGATAACCAATTATATCTTTCTTTACAGTATGATTCCGCAAAGATGACTGAGTCTAAAATAGTAATGGTTAACAGGTACAGTCCCGTTATTAGATCCCCAATATGAATGACAGTTGTCAGAGCTTTATTGTTCAATGCAGACGTAAAATGTCTGGTTGCCAGGTGTCTAAAATTCTTAAAAAGTTTGACAGAGTTTAGGATAACTGCTGCACAACCAACGACCCAACTGAAAACCTTTAGAGAGAGTTTTGAAATAATTGTTGTTCTACAGTCCTCATTGCACTCGTCGGTGTAGTCAGGACAATCTATTTTCCCATCACATTTCTGGCTCTGTCCAATGAAGCGTTTTGAAGATATGCATAAAAAGTTGTTAATACATGTATCTTCATCTGAGCTATCGCCACAATCGTCTACCAAATTGCAAACTTTGTCATAATCGACACATCTATCGTTGTTGCAGAGAAATATGTTATTTTGATACCGTCCACTTTTCTTATTTTTATTTAAAAATGTCAGGCGATTCTTATTCTCTATTGGCATTGTAAAAATCCTGTCCACGTATTGATTATCAATCTTACATGAGTCATAGTTAAGTGGTCGCAATGGACAAACAGGCTGCTCTTTGCATTTTTTCAAGCAACTAAGATAAACGTACACTCTTCCATATACGTTTGTGCAGTCTACCATGGTCTCTGGTAAAACTATTTTTGGTAAACCGTCGAGTCCAAAAATTGAGACTGGCAAGAAATCTTCTTTGACGCATTGTGATATATAGTGACCTAAACTTGTACTCACTCCGGCAACACAATGTATAAGAAATTCCAATTGATTTCTTGTTCCAATGGCGATGGGGTTTGTGAAAACATGTTCGGATGATCTAGTCTGACCGCAAACTCTTGCATGATCGCAAATGTCATAACCGTTACACAGATCTTGGAACATTACATAATGGTACGATCTTGGGCTGCATATGTAAACATCTTCACATTTACTGCTGTCAGGCACATAACGAGACAATCTGCCGATTCCACATGTTGGCCAGATTTCTGTTTCGTCTTCTCCTTTTAGACAGTCTTTACTTCCGTCCATCAGCCAAGAGATGGGTATGGGAAGTTTTGTGTCGTGAAGATATCGGCGGGAACATGTAGACAAAGTCATTCTGTCACAGATCTTGGATGTTTCATCACTTTTATCGGAACAGTCCGAAATTCCATTGCAGAATCGATGCTTATGGACATTACAAGTTCGACTGGTTGTCAAGCATAGGCTGTCGAATCCATCATCGCACAAACCTGGGTTCTGAACGCAGGTGGCAAATTTAGACACTGTAGATGGGTAGCCGTCAATCTTACACGACACTACTCCTCTCATTGGGTCCGTACAATTGGTTTGGTCCATGTAGAATTTGCAGTATGGCACATACGGCTCACCATCAATTTGCTTCAATTTAATACTTGATGGATCAATATAGAACGATTTATAAATAAGTAGCGCAGAACATCTTGTAAAATTAGAAAGCCTCCGGTATGAGAACGATGATTCTGGATTCCATTTTGAATTCGATATTGGATTCCTAATTGTTGGAAGGCATTGTTTGCTCTTTTTGACATCTTCATACAGTTTTTTCTGGGCAAGGTTATCTTTGTAATCCAAATAATTGATGGCTTCATTTCCTCGAGGTTTTATGTTAAATAAACCATTCCTACCAGTATAGAGATCTATCATATGATGATTGTACTCGTTACAACCAATTTCATCCTCACCACTTTCGCAATCAATTCTGCTATCGCATATTTGTTGCGCGCTCACATATGACATATTACTTGTGATACTCTCACAAAATGTACCATAACGATAACCATTACACAACGCTTCATCAAGACAACCATGAACTTCACATAATCCATTACATGTAGTAAAATTAGTCATACTAAAACCCATATTCAATGGATCATCAAGGATAAGGGTGAAAACATTAGGTGTTACTACCCCAATCTGTTTCGTAAAATTTCTGTTACAAAAAGATTTCGAATTGTCTCCTGATCGTAACATCAGTGATAGGGCGTTTTTCTCGTCATCTATACAACCTTGATAAACGCGAGGATCGTCAGAACAGAGCTTTGTTACTTCAGGGTAGCGGTAGTTTGCTGATTTCGGTCGCTTACGTGGAAGATATACGTAATATTTTGAGGAATCAATGCATTCGATGATTTCAAAATTTTCGTCTTGTTGACAAACATTTTTG